GTGTGTGTGTGTGTGTGTGTGTGTGTGTGTGTGTGTGTGTGTGGGTGTGTGTGTGTGTGTGTGCGTGCGTGTGTATCTGAATGAAAAATTACTAAAAAATAACTAAGTAGGCATCATTGTTAAACAGGAAATTTGACAAAATATTGTGTAATCCTTTACTTTGAAATATGAGCTGTCCTCTGGCCACATTTCTTCCTCTGCTGTTCTCGGCGACACACTCGTACACACCGGCATCCTCTGGGCGAAAATATGGAATTTCCAGGTCCCCAGTGGAGTGGTTGATTTTAATCTTGCCAGGGAGTGGATTTCCATCGGCTTTCCTCCAGGAGATAGAGGGTACGGGACTGCAGAAGCAACCCACACAAGGTCACATTGATCATGAGAACTGTTGCCATGTTTGCTTGCTTATTGTAGCTTTTTCACAAATCTCCCCAAACCACCACATTGTACAGGACACTTACTTTCCTAAAGCGAAGCATTCCAGCTTCACTGATGATCCTTTGGAGACATGGAGAGTGTCAGGAAAGTGAACCTCTATCTTTGGCTCATATTCACCCATCACAACTATATAAAGGACAGGAGCAAATTACAGATGTTATAACCCAAAAGAAGAACATGTTAATCCTGTACTTCAATCTGAAATTACATCCCCAATTGTGACAGTTTGTAAATTGTAAATCCATCCATCCATTATCCTCCGCTTGTTCCAAAGTTGGGTTGTGCGGGCAGCAGATTGAGCAGGGAGGTCCAGACATCTCTTTTCACAGCCACCTCTTCTAGCTTTTCTGGGAGGACCCCATGGTGTTCCCAGGCCAAATGAGAGACTAAGTCTCTCCAGCATGTTCTGGGACTTCCCCGGGGTCTCCTCCCTGTTGAACATGCCCAAAGCACCTCCCTGGGGAGGTGCCCAGGAAGCATCCTTACCAGTGCCCATACCACCTCAACTGGCTTGTTTTGATAAAAAAGTTAATTCAGTGATACAAATATCATCAACCCATATTTATATCACAATGAAAACATTTCATACCATTTTTAGGAAAAATAAAAAGGTAAAACTGACATTGATAGCAGCAACAAATCTTTAAAAGGGTGAGAAAGGGCCACGTTTACCAACATTTCCTCTTCTGTACAGAAGATGTAGCATCAGTTGTTTCCCAAAATAATTTCTAGTTTAAAATCATTTTGTGACTGTCCCAACCTTTTAAAGATGTTTGCTACCAAAAAAAAAAAAAAATTCAAAGTACCTTAATTTTCTAAAAAATGGCCCACTTTATTTATTTAAACATAAGATATGCTTACTATGTTTTCTTATTAAGTAAAATATGGATTTGAGCATTGTGAATAATTGTGTTTTGTTTTCATTTACAACTTTGACAAATTGGGTCTGTCGAAGCTTTGGGATGGATGAAATAAGCACAGAACAGAAGGCATGAAGAGGCTTCAAACTGTTTCACTCGATGGGTATGTTATATCTGTATTAGTGCAAGTTGTGTTTATGCTGAAGAGAAAAACAAAACTGGTCCTGTGGAGGTTTTCACAGTGTCAAGTTCCTTGCTGTGCATGAGGCTGCAAGCACTCTAGTTATGTAAATGTGCACCTTCATGCAGATCCAGAGGTTTCCTTGCATACATAACCCTGTGTACTAGAGAATTGTTGACTTGTGTAAAATCCTTGCCAAAAAAAATGTAAGAGGGAAAAACAATGTCACGCTTGAGACAAGCGATTTATCTCCTCTGCTCCCCCTTCCTACAATGTTCGTGACAGCTCAGTGCACAAAATAACCAGACAGTGGACCGGAGACATTTACCGTCCCTTCGCACCACCACGGGAGTTGGGGAGCTGATCACTGTAGCATTGGTCATCATGTTTCTCACTGCACATGTGTAATTCCCTGCATCCGAAGCTTCAACCTTAGCGATGTACAAGTTTCCGGTCCTCTGAGAGATGAAGCGACGAGCATCCTGCTGCAGGAAGCTGAGCTGTCCGTTGAAAACCCATGAGTATTTGATCTCTGTAGAATAAAAAAAAAATAAAAAATACAAAATTGCAAAGTGAAAAAACATGTTTCAAATTGTAACTATTTATTAGTTGCAGGACATGAAAGTAAAATATAGGAGAACTGCAACAGACACAGAACTATTATATAAATAACTATAAAAATGTTCTAGTGTGTCAAAGTGCATTGTTCTTCCCTAAAAATATTGAAATGACCATTCTTCAATGTGTCTTTAGCATTTGCATCTGGAAAGTACTAAAAACAAGTCTGAATGGCCTCAATACATGCAGAAAACATTTCTACTACCATTGGAAGTCATCTGGGTGCATAGTGTGCAAATGGAGGGTATGCATTAAACAGCTGCAAACATCGGTGTTCTTTGAGATGCATAAAACAGAATGTTGCATGAAAGTGTTTGTAAATATTTACAAACTGACCTGCCACGAGAATGTGCTTACTGCACACTGGCCTCCCTCTCACACATGGACTCTGTCTTACTACGGCTGACTTTCATTCCTCTTCTTTCAAGTGCATACCTCCACCTCTCCAAGTTCTCCTCCATCTGTTCCCTGTTCCCACCACAGATCACAATGTCATCTGAAAACATCATAGTCCACAGGAATTCCTGCCTGACCTCATCTGTTAGTCAGTCCATCAACAGAGCAAACAAGAAGGGGCTAAGAACCAACCCATAATGCAATCTCACTTCCACCTTAAAGCTATCTGTCTACAGCTATCTGCTATCTACAGCACATCTCACCACTGTCCTGCTGTCCTCATGCATGTCGTGTACTGGTCTAATATACTTTTCTGCCACTCCAGATTTCCTCATGCAGTACCACACCTCCTCCCTTGGCACCTTGTCATATGCTTTTTCTAAATCCACAAAGACACAATGGAGTTCTTTCTGACCCTCTCTATACTTCTCCATCAGCGTCTTCAAAGCAAATATCTTTGTTAAAAGATCTTTGTTAAAATCCAGGTCTCTCTTGAAATTGAGTCATTATGGCTCAATGGAACTAATCTGTTTAAATAAAGGTTGAATGAAAAAATATGGCATCTGTGGTGCTCTTTCTTGGCATGAAACCACAATGCTGCTCACAAATAGTCAGCTCTCATCTAAGTCTAGCTTCCACAATTCTTCACAGATCTTCACTGTGTGACTGACTCAACAGGTTGATTCCCCTGCAGTTGCTACAACATTGTACATCACCCTTGTTCTTAAAAATGGGCACCAGCACACTTCTCCATTCCTTAGGCATTTTTCAAAAACATCACTGCAGTTTCTCCAAAATATTTCCAAACCGCCACTGGTATGTCATCAGGTCCTACAGCTTTCCCCTTCTTCATTCTTTTCAGAGTTTTCTGGACTTCACCCTTATTAATCTTTCCCACTTCCTGGTCCACAGTTTATATGACCACTACTCTTCTTTCTCTTCATTCATTAGCTCCTCAAAGGACTCCTTCCATCTTCCCATCACACTCTCCTCACTTGTTAGAACATTACCATTCCTATCTTTAACAAGCCTAACCTGCTGCACAACCTTTCCAGCCTGATCCCTATGTCACGCCAATCGGTATATGTCCCTCTTTAGTGCCCAGCCTCCCATATAACTCATCGTATGCCTTCCACGTTGCCTTAGCTACTTCCCTCTTTTATCTACATTGCATTCCCTTATATTCCTCTCTTCTGTTCAGTTTTCTCACTGTCATATTTCTTCATGGCTAACCTCTTTCTTTGAATAGCTTCCTGCACTTCAGTATTCCACCACTGTTTCCTTATAATCCATCATCTGCCCAGATGACACACCAAGTACTTTCCTACCTGTCTCTCTAATTCCAGTTGCTGTAGTTGCCCAGTCATTTGGAAGCTCTTTCTTACCACCCAGAGCGTTTAACAGCTCCTCTCTGCATTTATCACAAGATTTTTCTTTTCTCAGCTTCCACCATTTGGTCAACTTCTCTGATTTTACTATTTTTCTCAACAACAGTCATTCTATACACAACCATCCGATGCCATCTGGCCACACTCTCCCCTAAACAACATTACAGTCCCCAATCTCCCTCAGGTTTCCTCTTCTACATATAATGTAGTCTACCTGTGTACTCCATGCTCCACTCTTATAGAGCACTCTATGTTCCTCTCTCTTTTGGAAATAGATGTTGACTACAGCAATGTCCATTCTCTTGGCAAAATCCACCACCATCTATCCTTCCTGGTTTATTTTCTTGTCACCAAACCTACGCATCACTTCCTCATCCCCTCTGTTTCTTTCACCAACATGTCGATTCAGGTCTGCTCCGATCACCACTTTCTCCACTCTGGGAATACTCTATCACTTCATCCAGGTCCTTCCAAAATGTTTATTTCTCCTCCACATCACATCCTAACTGTGGAGCATAACCACTGACAACATTTAGCATCAGACCTTCTACTTCTACCTTTAGACACATCACCCTACCTGATACTCTTTTCACCTCTACTACATTCTTTGCCAACTCTTCCTTTAGGACCACCCTTATTCCATTTCTCAGGGAAAAAACAAACAAAAAAAAGTTTAAACCCTGCTCCAATGCCACAAGCCTTGCTGCCCTTCCACTTGGTCTCTTGGGCACATAAAACATCTACCTTCCTTATCTGCATCATGTCAGCCAGCTCTCTACCTTTGCCTGTCATTGTCCCCACATTTAGAGTTGCAACCCTCAGGCCTACATTCTTGACATTCCTCTTCTTCCTCTGTCTCCTGACATGTCTACCTCCTCATGGTCTTCGACTAACAGTAGAACAATTTCCGCCAGCATCCTGTTTGTCAACAACACTTGTGGCGGTCATTGTTAGCCCAGGCCTCAACCGATCGGGTTTGGTTTGGCTTTGATGAACTCACATTATAGGTTTGGCAAAAGAGTTTTACGTCAGATGCTCTTCCTGATACAACCCTCACCATTTACCCAGGCTTGCAACCAGCACTGGCTTGTGCTCCCTAGTGCTTGGTTCCAAGCCACTCTAAAGTTTTTAATTATTTTCATTTCAGGCAAGGACGGAAATTCAGATCTTGTTATGATAACAGCATTTGCTGCCTTCTGCCACTCCATTATTTTATTTTTCATTACTAACCCTGAAGGATTGACAACCAAATAAAAATATACCAATGCCTCCAGCTTTGATGCTAGTCCATCTATTTCACATTTAGTGTTTTTTTATTTCTCCTTTCTCAACACTTTGGCCATGATTATTTGGACACAGGGTAGAAGCCAGTCATGTATTTACATTAATCATTTGAGGAAAAATATGGGTCTAAGTGGCACTTGCAGTTGCCTTCAATTTCATGTAAGCTGGGGTGTATAAAGGAAAGGTACACAGAAAAGTGTTTGTTTAAAGTTTCATAAATCTGAATATTTTTGTGCATACACTCTGTGTCCATATGCTAAGTTTCAGTATGAAAGCTACACACATTTTTTATATACATGAGGCCCCAGGAGCCTTTTGTCAACATATGTTTGGTAGTCTGAACACAATCTGTCTTGATCTGCTATATAGAACCCGGACATTTCAAGGCCAAAAAAATATATATATATTTTTAATCCACTCAGCTACTAGCTGATTAAAAATTAACTCAGATTGAGAAGACCTTGAAATAAAAACAAGCCTTTTATTTTATATTTTTGGAACCTATTTTTTATTGCATCCTTAATAAAAAGTATATTTTGTTGGGAATAATTAATCAGAGTAGAAGGCAGGACATTGTATGGGTGAGTTTCTCTTTTATTTAACTTTTAATATTTGCCCTGATTGTTTTAGAGCTGATTGGACCCACTGCGGTCACTGTAGGCTATCATACTCTGTCAATTACAGACCAGCCCAAATATCATGTTCACAGTGGAGCTATATAAAAGATGACTGCTGTGAGTGCACTGTGAAGTTTTAAGGATTAATGTCTTCTGTGTTTGCTCTGGCACAGAAGTTAAGAAACAAATCACAAGAAATAGTGCAGCTAAAATGCAACTAGTGTGGCTGTGAATTATTTAAATATCAAAATCTTTCAATTAAGTTAACATGTCTGATCATATAAGAAATATGTTTTAGGGTGCACGATAAATGTTATGAACAATATCAGTCAGAGCTGACTAGATGTCACATAATCCAAGTCTGATATTTAATAACAAGTATTAACGGCCTCAAATACACTTTACTTACTCTAAAAAGTATTTTTTTTCATGTGTATTATATTATTTTATAAATTGACTGTCAGGGCAGCATAGCGGCGCAGTTGGTAGAGGTGATGACTCTCACCGAGCACATTACCCTGGTTCAAATCCCGGTATGAGGGCCTTTCTGGCAGAGTTTGCATGTTCTCTCTGTGCATAAGCAGTTATTCTCCAGGTTCTCCAGTTTCCTCCCACAGACCAAAAGCATGCATGTTAGACTGATTGGTAACTCTAAATTGTCTCTAGGTGTGAGTGGGAGAGTGAATGGTTGTTTGTCGCATTTGTCTCTGTGTCCCTGTGATGGACTGGAGACCTGTCCAGGGTGTACCCTGCCTCTCACACAGTGACTGCTGGACATGGGCACTGGCGACCCCCATGACCCAAAAAGGAAGAAGCGAGTAAAAGATGATGGATGGGTGGATGGATGGATCTACTGTCACACTGGTTCAAACAAATATCTTTTTTTTTTTACTTGACATTTTGTGTCATCTCCTTGCAAAGGGAAACCCCAGAGTCTCAGAGTCTCTTATGCCTTCAAAGAAGGTTTAGTAAATAAGCACATTATAAAATAAAAAAATTAATTAATTTAAAAAAAAGAAGGAAAAAAAAAA